CAACTAATGTGAGGACTTCTGCCACGGGGCAGAGGTCATCATATCAGTTAAACTGATGTCCCTTTGAAAGGATCGCAAGAGAGCTGCCAACTGATATTCGATTGCCAAAATCACCAAAGAGGTGAAAATAAAATTGAGCGCTATACTTCGAAACCACGCGCTTGAAGCCACGCTTATTAGCTAGTAAGTATTTAAAAATGGGATTAAATTAAGTAAAAGTGGACATAACAGAAACTTTGATACATGTCATCAAAATGATAATCCAGAAGATGACTCCGTGGCGCAGTTGCCAAGTTATTGGCTTCGGCGTCGGGGGTCGTGGGTTCGATTCCCACACGGGACAACTATTTGTGTGACCCACAGATAGTTGTTTCGCATCTGGGTGTTTGTCCGCGTGAAATTTATGTTTGTAAAACGTCCTTTACAACACAGGATAATATTATCCTAAAGTAAGGGCAGTGTTTTTAAAACAAAAAAAAAAAAAAAAAAAAAAAAAAAGGTAGCAAAACAGCTAAACTTAACAACTGTAGCTGAAAAGGCGTTTAACGCCGTTTTAATATGGAAGAATATTTTGCGGAACAGGACAATAGAAATGATTTTATCTCCACGATTGCTACACTCTGCTATTGCTTTCATTCCAAAATTAATTATTTCCTAAAAAGACTATTAATAAATATTAAAAAGATAAGTGCGTGTGTGTGATGGAGCATTGCAACGTTCATAAAATATGAAGTATAGCAAAATGTTAATGACATTTATTGGTTCAATTGTAATCAATAAAAAGTTATAACACACACACAATAACAATGCTAGAATCAAAAATAAATTGCTTAACTTAGCTTTACCAAAAGTTAATTCCTACATAGAATTTCAAAAGGACGAATGTTATCCAGTCATGCTTTTCTGTCAGGATGTCTGTCGTGTGTCCCTAAAAATAAAACGCTCCTTATGAAGTCGAAAGCGAAAGTTTTCTGGTATTCTCGCGGCGAGCTCATCCACGTCTGGAATGATCGATGAAAGGAAGTTCGGTGGAAGGGCGAAAAACTCATTAGCTTGTCATTATCTGCCCCTTTATTGGGGACGACACTTAATTTCGCTCGAAATAGATCACCGTTATTGTATATTCAGGGTGAATAGTTTGTTGTGACACTGGTTTAACTATATTTAGGTATACTTGTGGTCGCCCAGTGGTCGAAATTGGACCATAATTAATTATACATAGTATTGTGTGTAATGTTTTTTTTTTTATTGATTTATGCATAACTTTAAAAAAAATATTAGCATTCTGCACTCCTTCTAAAGTGTAAGTGTGGGAAATTTCATACTCCTCCGTCCGCGTAATTTTCGTAAAAAGGGGTTCAAACTTTTTGCTCCATGTATTAATATATAGGGCAGACCCCACTCTTCCCACTCTGTGGGAATGATAAATGCATGGGAGAGAGAGAGTATTAATATATAGATAAAATGATATATCAATAAAAATAAAGTCGATATGCCTTTAACTCATGTGGTGTCGATTGGGGGATCTTTTTGCTGAATATATTTCGGAAACAGGGTTATGTGAATATAAAAGTTCTTGATGCATATTTGTGACGTTTGCACCTGCGAAATAGAAGTGCAGATCATCTATTGCATCAATTATCTCACGAGAATCAACAGGTAGTCAGTACGGAGATCGAAAACAATGACTATTAGAAAATGTTTTTTCAACACAATGCAAGCTGACATAATCGGACAGACTGTAACAATATGACAGCGATATCAAAACGACCAGTTATGAATGACATCGATATTGATTCGTACATGTATACATCCTAGAGGTAATTTTATAATAAATTGGAGTTTGTAAGAGAAAATTACGAATAATAAAACACAAACACCAGAAAGAAATACGGCCGGTCTAAAACTAAATGCGGCATAGGAGTAAATGATGACAAGTGATAGTGAATAATGGAAGAGGTGAATAGGATTGCGAACCCATCAACATTTAAAAAATTGTTGACGGTGACGTTACATTTTATGGGTGAGAATGACTGAGTGTGAATGAATTCACCTCACTGTCTATCAACATTCATAACATACGAAGCTGATATCCTATGTATGCTAGCGTTTTCAACCTTATATTGTCCGAAACTTCACTCACCAGACGAAATGAAAAAGTGAAAACGCTTTTAATTTTACAGGTCTTCTGTCGGTACTACTTCCACGAATTAGAATGCTCATTCAGGCAACAGCAGAGGAAGCTATTGGCCCTGCCAACGGCTTTCGGCAGATTTTGTTGTCTTGTACAAATCTCACTCGCGGAAAATGTAATAAAACTTAACTTTAGTAGACCCAGGCACCAGAATTTGTTGCATTAAGAAGTTGCATCGACTTGAGAAGGAAAATGGTGGGAGCGTAAAAGTGTCTGAATTTTTGAGTTTACTCGTATGTGACGTTACTGGAGGCGTGCCATCTCAAAGGGTGGCGACATATCTATTACTCCGCTGTAATTGAAGATGAAGATGGTAATGAGGTAACCATTTACCATCAAGACAGTAGGTACTGTTCGTTTCTCAACTTGTTTTATCTTCTTTTTCCCTTTATTCCACTTACATGGGGTCAGTATAACCTGTGAATCACTTTTGGATTTTTTTAATTGTTGGTTTATCTTTTGTTTAATCACGCTGTTAATTGTTGGCTATATTTTGTACGACCTGACGGCAGCATGTGGTAGGGCCACGCAACGGCTTCGGCTGTTGCACGAATGGGCAGGTCCGTCCGGTTACGTACCACGACCTCACAGATAACCAGTGTGAAGTGGATGTGTCATACTTCTGCGTTTCGTCTGGCGAATGAGGTAGCCGGGCCGACTTTATTAAAAGGTGGCAACAGATCTGCAACCGTGCTGGTGTTGCGAATAGCCATGGACGACGGTTTGCAGTAAACATCAGATGATCTGCCAGCTGGCTTGCCACCTTCTCACATAAAACAACCCCTTTGGGATAAGCATCTAATTCTTCCTGAAATACTTTCGTGTTGGAATCGAACCCACGTTGCAAATAGCTTAGTAACTTCTCCACCAAGTCATCTTTTATTGGGACTAACTTAAGCTAACCGTAGCCGGCCTCTATTTACATCAAGGTTATTAACGTAATTATTTTTCATAGCATATATTATTCGTGCAAACGGACAGTAAATTAAGCAAGATGAAATGTTGAAACGTTAGGTACTTGATTTGGATGATACAGTTTGAAATGCTTAATACAAATTGCTGTTTGTTTGTAATTTTAAGGGTAATTGTTTCTTTATGAGTCTGATTTAATGTTTATGGCATAATTATAATTCTAGTTTTGGTATCAAGATTGAAATAAAATGCTAAACAGTAACTAAATTAGATTATACGTCTATCTCCCAAACGTAGTCCGAGAGCCCAAAAGCCAGTTTTTGATTTTTGTTAGCAGCGTTTCCTCTCTGAATAAGAATCTAGCTTAAGTTGCGAAATTATTGCGAAGATAAAATAAAAACCCGGCTAAGCGCGAGTCGGACTCCCGCATAAAGCGTCCCGCACCATTATTTATAAAAACTGCAAAAAAGTTATGTTTGTTGTACCTATGGGGGCCATACTTAAATATTTGTTTATTCTGTTTTTAGTATATGTCGTTATAGCGGCAACAGAAATACATCATCTGCGAAAATTTCAACTGTCTAACTATCATGGTTTATGAGATACAGCCTGGTGACAGACGGACAGACAGGCAAACCGCGAAGTCTTAGTGTTACTAAGGGTCCCGTTTTACCCTTTGGATACGGAACCCTAAAAATAAATATTTTAATTAAGTAAGCATACGTCAAACTCTAAATTAGTAGTTTTCTATATGCATTATAAAATTTAAAAAAATACAAAATCAAATTAACACTGTTTTTAGTGGTAGTTAAATTCGCGACGTTACGAAAAATTTGCACCTTTCATGGTCGCTATTATAACAGTCAATTTAAAAATAACCAGCAATGCTATTATAATGCCACGTATAGAATTAAAGTGCATTAAAGAGATGTACAGAATTAAATTTACATTATTAAATTAACATTAAATTAAAACTTTTAGTGTTTGAATAGAATAGAATCACTAATCAAAGATCCATGAGAATCGGATGCATGGACAACAAACATGCCAACATATACATAGCTTTGCACTTTAAAATGATTGTTTTATTAATTAACCAATGTGTTTCAACTATGGGCTCAAGTTTATTTGTAAAATCTCGCAATGATACAGTTTTTATTAACAATATGCATAATTTTAATTGCGGATATTAAGAAATCGAGTTGCTCTTTCACTTTGCTGATGCATTTCTGAATTTTTTACCTCGTCCATTTATTAAGTGTGCTGTTTCAAAGTGTTGTTAAATGTAACAATTTTACGGATTTTATCGCATTTTATTCTGGTTTGAATTAAAAAAAATAATTGAACGCAATAAAATTTTCAAAATAGTATTATTTTACAAAGTATTCGCGTAAATTCAAGATGATTATTTCTTGCTCTTTATAATACAGAACATTTACCAGTCAGGACATTTCACGAGTGCAAATATATTCATCTATAATATTAAAATCGCGAACTTTAACAAATCAAGTCAGTCTCTCTGTTGTCATTTTCGAATATTTACTATTTGTCTATGGGTAGCAGATTACTTCTTACTGATTTATAGTGAATTTTAAGGGTTATTGTACATTCATTCAGTCTCCACTTACTTGGATCGGATATAGCTCCTTATTCATACTATTTATTTTTTATTGTTTAAATTTTTATACGATGATTCTGTCGTTCACGTAAAAAAATAACAATTTTATGTCATTACCACACAAACCTCGTGCGCACTCTAAATATTAAATTAATAGTAAATTTTAAACGTAGACACACTGGGAGATAGGATCATTGTCCCGTAATATTTGGTCTTATTTACGATAAAAACACAACTGAAACGTGATGTAGATATTTGTAAACAAACAATAACTCACGGTAAGCTTGCCGAGGCGGACTGCGGGCTAGCGGGGTCCGCAGTCAGCACTTTGAAGGCGGCGTGATCCCGGGTCTTCGCCGAGCCGGGAGCGCTGCGCGCCCCAAACGCACCCTCGTCCTGCGCCCCGCCCTCGCGCGGGCCCTGGCGCGCCGACAGGTCGAAGTACCTGTCCTGGGCGTGTATCAGCTGGGTGACGGTGAACGCCGGCGGCACGGGCGGCCCGAACAAGTCGTCTTTCGGCGCGGAGTCTGTCCGAGCGAGTGGCGAGCGATGCGCGAACGCGTACGGCGTGTTGGCCAACTCCTCCTCGATGCTGTTGTAGCGGCTGCGGAAGAGCGACGGCGCCCCCCCACCTAGGAGGTCCCGCCGGCCGAAGCGGCTCGCCACGCTGTCGAACCTGGGACCCTCCAGCGCCCCCCCGTCCCCCTCGAGACCGCCCCCCCCACGCGCCGGCTCCATGTCGATCTGCAGCACGCCGTGCTCGTCGCTGTATTTCAGCTTCAGCGCCATCGTGTCATCGCTGCGGACAGACGTTTCCTTAGATCAATATTTATATTTAAAAAAAGAAAGTAATAAATACGAAAAATTTCAATTGTTAATTAAGACTATATGTCTACCACAACAAATTGAGAACGCAAACGTATTCGGTTACGATGATTGTTTTCGTCGATCGAATTGGTCGAGCCTTTGATGAAATAAAAACGGATTAGAACATTATAATTCTATTCATTCTCTTATAATTTTTTTTTTCTAGTGTAGATTTTTTGAGCAGGGTCGAATCCCGCATCGCTATTAATTTAAGTGTAGAAGCAAGCGCAAGTTCGTATCCCGCAACGCCAAAAGCTTTTGGTTCATTTTTTTTCTTTATATAACCATACATAGCATTCTGTTCATTTATCTACAAAATAATATAACTTAAAGATTATCTCATAATCAAAAGTGCACGGGACGTAAAAATTATAGTCTAGGTTCGAATATCTGTGTTATACTAGCGAGTTGTGTTTCTTTTCAGTGTGATAATCTCTAATATTTTTGAGCAACGAACCCATTTATTTTCATTCGGGCTAAATAAACTCGACAAGACGTGGGAGAGGATTGATGGATCCATGCTAATTACATCAGATCCCTGTCATGAAGCTTAATATTAGGTAAAACTCAAAAGGTTATTGTGCATGTTAAATTAAGGTTTGTTGACAAACATGTATCTAGTCAGTTGTTGTATATTACATCTTTTAATATTTTTATGATATTATAATAATAAAATTATCTTAATTATCCATTGATTTCCAGTTTAGCAACCAGTATAAAATTCTTGCAACACTTTGTACTGAAATATTTTCTTATAATATTATTATTAATTTTCATCAAGTTAATCTTGCATTCAAGGCCAAAGGAGTTACAGACCAGAAGAACAATGTAATAAACAGGTAGCTATTCCTTGTCCGTTTTCCTCCGAATTTTTTATAGTGGTAGGGCCACGAAGCAGCTTTTGAATCACGGTAGGGAAGTTTCTATCGGGGAAGAACCACGACCTCAAAAAAATCGGCGTGAACTGGGAGTATTACATTTCAGCATTTAGTCTGGTTAGCTATTAACCAGATCTATTCTTTTAAGGTTGGCAACACATATTATCATCCGTGGCTTACCAAGCAACAGTGTTCGCTGTTGCACGAATTGGCAGGTCCGTCCGGGTTAGTACCAGGACTTCACGTAAGACCGCCGTGAAATAGGAGTGTTAAAATTCTGCAATCCAACGGGTGTTGCAAATGTACATGGGCGGTGGTTATCACTTAACATCAGGTGAACCGCCAGCTCGTTGCCACCTTCCCAAATAAAAAATAAATGGCTGAAGACCCCGTATAAAGTAAACAACTGCCGCAAGCCACCCTCTTATAAAAACAAGAAACTGCTGTTTAGTTACCTTAAAGAATCATTTTGACATAAAACTACATGTTTTACTTTGGATGATATAAATTTTGAAATAGGATTGAGGTAAAGTAATAAATCTGATAGTCGAGAGGTAGCGGAGGCGTATGTCGAGAACATGAGCCTTTATTTCTTTATTCTTTATTTGCATTACACAATGTAGCTTAGGTGGTAGAGATTTAAAATTAAGAATCATCATGGACCCTGCTAGGGCATAGCAATAGTAAAAAAAAAAATAAAAAAAATGTTGACTTAAATACAATTAGCATTAAAAAATTAGAATTAAAATACAATTACTTTTTTTTTTACAATTAAGCGTGCAATGTCCATATAACTTAATATTAATTTAATTATTTTTAAACATAACATTAACAATATATAATGAATTGATATTACATAATTTTATAACCTTAAAATTTTATAATATAGAATATTTGAATATATTAGAGTAGTGTTTGTTAGTCGCTTAAATATTCGTGTATGCTATAATAACTCTTGATTAATAATAATTTTTTCATTTCGTTCTTAAACAGATTGTAATTTTTTATTGCCTTAATTTTATTTGGTATTTTATTGTATATCTTTACACACATCGCGTAAGGTCCTGATTGAAAGAGGGCTAATGAGGAGCTTGGTAACGCTAATTTATTTCTATATCGGAGGTTTCGATATTTTGGTCGTTCATTATGTACGAGAGGGAATAAAGATGGGTGTTTTCTAACGAATTTACTAATTTCAAGCATATATATGCAGATTAATGTTAAAATTTTAAGTTTAATAAAATGTGATTTACAGCTCTCTAAAGGATCTTTTATATTTGCAATTATTCTGATGCATTTTTTTTGTAAAATGAATAGTTTTCCTACATCAACACTATTACCCCACAGTTACTATACCGTAACTTAGCCAGGAGTATGCGTATGCGTAATATGCTGTTATTGTTGTTTTTATATCTGTTGCTTTTTTGAGTTCGTTTGGTCTATACTGGTCTATATTGGATAGGTCTATACTGCATTAACTGGTCTATACTGCATTAACTTTGTTTTTTTGTAATTTAATTCTAAGTTATGGTCTTCGAGCCAATTTGCTATTTTTGACAGGTATTCATTCAAAAACGTATTTAAATTTCCCCGGGCATCATATGGGAATATAATTGATACATCATCGGCAAAAAGTATAGTTTGAGCGTTTCTTTCTTTTGGCAGATCATTTATATATATAAGAAATAGTAAACATCCTAATACACTGCCTTGTGGTATGAACATTTTAAGGTCAGCTTTTTGTGATCTAACATAGTTGATGTAACCAGACTGTGTGTATTCTTTTATTTCTACATACTGGGTTCTGTCTTTTAAAAATGATGTGAACCATTGATGTGCTATCCCTCTTACGCCAACAGAGTACAGTTTGTTGAGTAGTATTTTATATGAAACCCGATCATAAGCCTTGCTCATATCTAATAGGATTCCAATTGCATACTTTTTTTTTGTTTAAAAAATTTAAGACTTCTTGAATGTATTTGTATACAGCTAAGCTTGTAGATTTATTTTTCCTAAAGCCGTTTTGACTTTCATTAAATATTTTATATTTTTCACAATAATTGTATAGGCGTTTTGATACTACAGTCTCCAAATTTTTTGAGAAGGTGGGTAGTAATGCTATTGGGCGGTAATTTGAAGTATTTGTATGCTCTCCTTTTTTAAAGACAGGTTTTATAATTGATGTTTTAAGTAGGTCCGGTACAATGCCTTCTTCTAATGATTGATTAATTAGCGTTGTTACTTAGTTCTTCTATGCATGATTTTACAAGTAGCGGTGAAATTTCGTCATGTCCATGGCTATGTTTATTTTTTAAATTTCTTATTATTTGTTTTATTTCAATAGGGTCTACTGGTCTAAGGTAAATTGAGTTCTCGCTAGGACTCACAACAGGACGGCCTTGCGGGTTGTAGCCTCCTTGTGTTGCTTTGGTACTTCCTACTGATATAAAATAGTCATTAAAGGTATTAGCTATCATACTTGCATTATTCGTCAGTCTGTTCCCAATGTTTAATGTTATATTTTTGCTTGTTTTTTTTGTTTAATTTGTTTGTGCGTTCCTTTATTATTTGCCACATTGTTGAAACTTTATTTCCTGACTTTTCCATTCTTTTAATATAGTATAGCTTTTTTGATGTTGCTATTGTGTGTTTTAATATTTTTTCATATTTTTTATAATATGTTTTGAGTATATTATTATTGGTTTTTGAGGTTAGTATTCTCAATAGTCGTTTATGTTTACATGATGTTTTTAGCCCCTTTGTTAGCCATGTCTTTGATTTATCTTGCTTAATTTTTATTTGTTTTTTTGGCATACACTCATTTAATAATGTTTGTAAACTATTATGGAAGGACGTGTAATTTTCGTTTATATTTTTATTTGCACAAATAATATTGTCCCATTTTAATTTACCCAGCTTAGATTTTAATATTGTGATAGTGTATTTATTTATTTGCCTTTTGAAAGTGTACCAAACTTTTTTACTTTCGGAATTGTTTATTGGTAATGTGATTAAAACTCCTTTGTGATCAGAAAGTCCAAGTTCTATTACCTCTATTTCTCGATTATAAGGACTATTAAAGAATACCAAGTCAGGGCAAGTGGATGTTTTAGAAGTTATTCTGGTGGGTTCGGTTACCATTTGACGAAAGCTGTAGCTGGACATTGTGTTGAGGAGGGTTAATGATGTCCTATCTTTCTCTAATATGTTAACATTGAAGTCTCCCCCTATTATTATGTTTTTGCAAGGATCTCTTATAGTTAAAAATTTTAATAATTTTTCTAGAGTGTTATAAAATATTTGTGTTTCTCTATTTTTTTGTGGCCAATATATTACTATTACTATGACATTTAAATTAGATATTTCAACGGCACATATTTCAATAATGTATTCAACACTCAAATTATTTATGTCGTGCCGTTCAATGTGCTCAAAATTTTCTTTCAAGAATATAGCTACCCCTCCGCCTTCTCGATTTTTTCGGCAATATTTTGCGGTTAGGTTATAGCCTTCTATTTTTAGGAAGTCTTTCTTTATTTCAGTTAAACATAGTAAGTGTATTATATTTTCATCAAGTATTGATTCTATAAGGTCTCGTTTAGTTTTCAAGCTTTGGACGTTTTGGAAATAGAATTTTAAATTTATTCTCGAAAGGTGTTAGTTTGATATGTAGGATTATATTTTTGGTCGGATATTGGTAGTTTTATTGTTAATGTTGCACGATTTGTTGGTTTGTAGTAGTTTAATATAGTGGTTTGTCGATATTTTTTAGAAATTGCTGATGCCTTAGGGTTTTTAAATATTGAGTTTATGTTTAAAAATTGTGTGTTGTACTGTAAGTAGTCTTTGATCATTGTAAGAAAGCCTTTATGTAGTTTACGGTGTTTCGCTTTACGTAAATGTTATTTTTATCATAAATTTCATATACATTTATAAATTTACTGTTAATGTAATTTTGCAGTAGTAGTTTTATATTACTATTTAATGCATTTTCGTTCAAAAATGGGTTATGCTGTATTTTAGTACGTATACTTGTTTGCATAC